TTCTAGGGAGGGCAATCCCTTGCCCAATGAAGTCCTTCACAAAGAAAGCATTGATTTTGATATGGCTTGTTGTTGGTCTTCCCCTTGTCCCTTGCCTTTGTTGGAGTTGATTCACAACGTTTCTCTTTTTTGCCCCACCTTTGATTTTGCAACTCTTCTTATCTTCAGGTTTTCTATGCTCCTTTGAATAATCAACCAAGCTTTCAGCAACTGCGATGACAGTGGCAAGATCTTGCACTCCTCGCCTCCTAAGCTCGGTCTTTGCCCGATGTTGAAGCTCATCCATGAAGTTGAAAAGAGCATCATTATCTGATATATCTGGAATTTCAAGAACTAGGCTTGTAAACTCTTTGATGTAGTTTTGAATCAAACCTTCTTGCTTCAGCCTTCGCAGCCGGGCTCGAGCCTCGTCGTCGGCATTCTCGGGATAGAACTATTTTAAAGTGGACATGGTGCACAAACCTCTCTCTACATCTCCTTTTCTTCTTCTCCACCAAAGCATAGCGATGTCTGAGAGATAAAGAGAAGCAAATTGAATTTTTGCATCTTCATCGACAATCTCCATCGCTCCAAAGTATTGCTCTAGTTCCCATATGAAGTTGTCCACTTCCTTCGCGTTGCGAATACCTCCAAAACTCATAGGTTTTGGAACTTCAATCCTCCTGGCTTCGAAAGTGGGATGGTTTGTGGATGACGCGAATGTCTTCTTGCACAACAAAATGTCCCCACGCATTTCCTCCTCCTCGAGTCCATCAACCCTTTAGCCAAATTCCTCTACTTGGCCCTCCATGTCATTCATTGCCTCCTCCATCCGAGCAAGGCGTTAATCAAAGCTATGCATGATCTCCTTAGACCTTTCATGTGGCTTGGGTGCAACGGGGTCTCTTTGTTCCTGGCGACCTCGCCCTTGAGATGACTCCACATTAGTGGCTTCCGACTCCAACACGTGACGTTTTTCGTCATTCCCTCGAACCAAAGCTCTGATATCAACTTGTCACCTCCCAAAAGAGCCCTTAAGAGAGGTGGACAGCCCATGACTTAAATACTGTTTTTTGGCCCTACACCTAGTCGATGTGGGATTATTTGTCAATGACATTCTTCTCCACCCAATCACGTGACGCCCTTGTCACGGATCGGCTCCACCGAGGGTCCCACTGGACCATGGAGAGTCCACACACCTGGCAGACAGTAATCTGCTCTGATACCACTTATCACCTCTCAAAAGAGCCTTGGCAACCATGTGTTTGACATCCTTTAAAGAGGTAGACCAAAGCATGCGTCTTGGACATGGATATCACACCCTAACTAAACTAATGCAAAGCAATGTTTGAACTAGCACTAGCAAGTTCAATTCTATAATACATAAAAATTGAAGAAAAGTTGGAACAAGAAGACCGCTGTAATAACCTTCCTCAAATCATTTTGAAAGCAAACGAAATACAGGCTCCTCTGTAACAGGCTTCTCTTCGTTTCTACTGAAATCGCGAAATACCATAATGAGGCGGTTGGAGCCGCAACCTTATACAGGAAGGAGTAATAGTTGAAACATACAGGGAAGAAAAAAATGGAAAAAATAGCTCCTCCCCTATGTATATATTTTGTGAAGACATGTCTGGGAAAATAAGTTCTCTTCGGTTGGGAGTGCCACTGGAAGGAGAAAGTCCCGCTCTTCAAATATCGGTGGCGGCTCTCCAATTAGGATTTCCACAAGAGAGAAAAAGAGTAAACCACACCCAAAAAAACCTGCCGACAGAAAAAGCTGCAGAAGACGAGGCCGCTGGAAATCACAGCTCCCCCTGAAAGGGACGGCGACAGATTAGGCTGCAAAAACCAATGATGGATTTTTGTGGAAGAACAGCAGGACACAAAAAAAAACTATTTTGTTTCATATGGGATAGTCCTCTGGGTAAGAATAATGGGAAGGCTCGAGGAGGGAGAACAACGGAAAAGACTAGGAAATCCCACAGGAAGAATCAGCGGGTGAATAACCTATGCAGGGGTAACGCAAAGGGGCGAACCAGCGGAGAAGCCATGAATCAAACTGGGAATTATGCTAGAGGGAGAAAATTGTCCCCACTGTAAATGTGGGATTTCCATTGGAGGGAGAAAGAAAAAGCCGCCCCCGCACTTGGATGAAATTTCCACTGCATATGCAAGGCCACCCACTCCACCATGCAGGGATTTCTACTAAAGACAGAAAGTTGCCCCAAATCCCAGGATAGGATTTCTAGAACAGATATAAGGTCTCGCGCACTCCACCACTTTGGGATTTCCAACAGAGAGAGAAAGTAGCCCCCTGCGTTGAGATTTCCAATAAAGAGACAAAATCGGGATTTTTCCCCTCTTTGGGAGCTCGATTTCGGCATGATCGGGTCGTGGAGAGATGTTGCACCGTAGAAAGGAGCCGGCAGATTGGGATGGTGGAGTGACAAAACCACTCTCGACATAGCAAGGTGAAGATTTTTTTCTGGTGTTGAGATTGATTACAGATATTTATAGAGAAAAACCTCTTTTAGTTGGGGAGAATGATGCATACCGTCTCACGGAATTACAGGATCACAAAATCCAGCAATCCTATTTGTGGGAATCTCGCAATACCGCGAAAGAGGAAAATTTGTGATCATAGGCGAATAGAACCTCACATTCCCAACCATTCTGATTTCATCTCAAAAAATTTTTCCTTCTCTGATTTCTTTCTTAATTTTTTATTCCAAATTAGGGCACTTCCTATTAGGAACTTTATATCTTTCTTTTGTTGTTTTGAGAAATGTTTGCTTGGTTATGAGTGTTATAGGGATTGTAATTTCTGATTTTTTGCTTTAGGAATGTTGTATCCTCTTCCTTTTGCAACTTATGTGCTTGTATCTTGCTCAGGAATATGTGGTGAATATCCTCTTTGCCCGTATTGCACTAGTTCATCGTCTGTCTAGCTGCTTTCAGTAAGACTAGCTATTGAACTGCTCCTATACCTATCCAAACACCGTCGAACAAGTAAAATTTTGTCCCCACGCTATTCCCCAATCACCGCTCTAAATCTACTTCCTACACACCTTTTAGGAGCTCTAGAACGATACCACAAAACACGTCCTAATACCTTCCAAACCTTGCGTGTATAGAATACTTAAATAACTTTAACAAAAGCAATTTAAATTATAAATATGGTTGATCGAGCAACTTAATAAGGGAACTTCGTTCGACAATATTCATTCTCATAAAGAAAATATAGAAGCCTTGTTCAAATACCTGCTATAAATATATGGCGAGACATCAAAAGTATACATAATGCATCAATATGTATCCTAAAGCACTATAAGCTCCAAAATTAGACTAAAATACACTTCAAGGGCCCAATGCAACCCGACAGTCATATCAACATTCCTTTTAAGTAGAAGTATAAGACAAAGCAAAGCATTAAACATCTAAAACAGCATCAATCTCTACCCTACGAGATGATATTGGAATATAAATAACTCTACATAGAGGCTTCATTCAACCATTAAATTCATATAAAACCATTAAAACCTATGAGCTTAATAACATAATTTTTAAGGTAAACCAAAATTATCTCATAAAAACTATATGGTTATATCATGTATCTGAGTTTTCATTTTGTATTTATAACCTCTCAAACACAATCAGTCATGCTAAATGCATCTATGCCTCTCCGCCAAACCTAATATAGTATCTCCACCAATAAACCAAACAAATCATGTCCTTACCATAATGATACCCTTGACCTAGAGATGGATAGCCAAAGACGAGGGAAATCATAGTCCCAAACACTGCACTCAACAATCACAATAAAGGCTTGTTGAACTAAAAGCCAAAAATCTTAAAAGTTGTTATCCTAATCTCAATGACTATAGCTAAAGCTCCCCATTCAAGTGATTGGTTAGAACATGAGGTTTAACTTTAACTTGTATTACCATATCTAAAGCCACTTGAATCTTTAGATTTGAGTCCATCCAATAAAATCCTAGAGGATAACACCGCGAAACTTTGATAAAGTTTATCATCAATCTTCAGACTCATTTCTCAATGCATGGGGTTATAGTACAGTTAGTGATACATATATACGAGGTTATTTCAAAATACTAACTTAATATAGACTTTGGGAGGTCTTAATTCACAAGGCTCTCCTACATAGGAAAGGTAATTAACTAGTTAGCTTCCACACAGGAAGTTTCAAACCATATAATCATGCAAAACCATTTATATCAAGTGTGAAATCTATTATATATTCATATCAATACATCTCATATGAAAACATCACAAGTTTCCTCATTGAAATACTTGAGGATTGGGAACGGTCTTTTTACTTGCTTATTTAACTAGCATGTCCTTTTCATGAGCTCACGATAATGGAAATGCATAATCAAAGATGAATGAATCAAAACTACAAGAATATTTAAAGAAAGTATACCTCGGGTTGAGAAGCTAAGCTTTGCCCACGAACATTATCATCCAAGGTTGTTTGGAAAAAAGGAGTAACATAACTCGTTTCAGTTTCATATGGCTGCTTTAAACATGAAAAATGGCATATTAATGAGACAGGTAAATCCACTTTGAAAGGATTAAATATGAAGATAATGAAGGTTATGTCCAACATCTTGAGTCATAAAGAGAAGTAAAATGTTACTATATTTTTTTTATTAAATTTACACTGCAATGAGATGAAGTATTTTATTTGCAGCCGTGTTAGAAGAATAGTTCTACTCACCAAAAAATCAGGCATGCTTGGGGTTTCTGGTATTCGTTGTGACTGTTGAGAGCTGAATGGCGGGCTACGACTTTGAACCAACTCAACATCCATGTAACCCTCGATGTTTTTATTGTTCAAAGGCTCATTGTTTCCAGAAGGAGGCCGCTGCAATTCTTCAGCAGAAGCAGATGAAGTAGATCTAGAAGTCTCTGGTTGGCAATCAACCAAAAGTCCAACTTCAACGGAAGCCTCATTAACAGGTCCAACTGGAACAAACGCTGAATTGCTGATAAAAGGAAAGTTAATGTTAGCATATAAGCCAAAGCATCTATATGACATTTGAATGAATACAATATATAGTTTCTTCGCACAAAGAATAAAATGACCAGGTTCTTACAACAAAGAGACATATGCATACTTATACTACTATTAAAATAATTAAAACCTTATTGCAATTACCGACCATCAATTATTTCTATAATAATAACCACTCGTTCACTATTAAAGACCATTTTAATTCCACATTACTTCAACATGCAAGTCGGACCAAGTGACCACATTTTCCCTATCCAGCAGTGACAACAGAAGTACTACATCCGCCCACTACCCACTATACTTGGATAAATTCCTTGAAAGGTTGCATGTTGCATCAAAATATTGCTAAGTGTAAAACTATGCACCTAAGCATGTACAATGTGAGATCTATCTTGCCTAATAAGAGAGAAGAGAACATATGAGATTGGTATACATTTAAAAAGAAAACTATCCTATAAGATGAGTTGTGGAAAAAAATGGGCTGTCTTGTTGCGTTCCTTCGGAACAAAGTGAAACAAAATCTGTTTGAAATTGGTAGGAAGGTGATGCATGAACTATCATGTGGTCAACAACTACACCTTCTTTCAATCATACGCTATGAGAAAGCCAATCACATTACTGTTCTCTCCTTCAATGATGATCCCTTTCATCTCAAACCTCCACAGCTCCCCAATGTTTTTGATAAAAGGATAACTGCCATCTCAACTTGAAAACTATCCTAGTGCACCAACTACTGCTCAGTCACAATCAAGAATTCTCTTGTCCCGCCTTGAATAATTACTCACATGTCAGCCATATCGGAAGTTAGTAAAGTCCTGTCCACATTCGTCTTAATCCAACTAGGAATGGGGGGCACCAAAAGCAATGATAAGATAGCCCATAAGGCTGATTAGTGTTGCAGGACTCCCGTATTAGATAGATGTAAGTTTATGTGAGCGCCTCCAGAATAGTAGCAGCTATGACTGTTGAGGCCCCAAAAGATCTCCTATGCTTCTTAGCATTCCAGGCTCAATAACATTTGTGGACAGCACTGTAGTAGATACAAGCTTGGGCATATGAAGATCCAGCAGTAAAAGCAAAAGCTCAATTGGCCTCTTCCCAATTACTGACCAAAGGAATTCTAATCCCCATATTCTAAGCACGAGCATGGTTTTAATAAATAGAAGGCTATTCCAAAGGATAAAACAAATCAATTTCATTCATTCAAAAGCTTTTGATGCAGAAATTAATTGGAGTTAACTCAAACCACAATAAGAAAAACAAATTTGATTACTCAAAAGCAAATAGGATTACAATCAAAGACACTTGAAATAGGAAAAAGAAAGACACACACAAAGACCCACAAGGACGGGACGAAGTTCAAAGGTGGTGGGTTGTGGTTCGAGGAGGTGAAAACTAAGAGCTACAGGTGGTAGGGTAATCTAGGAGCAGCTAGGGGAAGCCTGGCCTGTGGCTGGATTGCTGCTGGGAAGCCAAAAGAGATATGGGAAGGTGGCGGCAACAAGGGGAGCATGGGTGGACTGTTTGGCGGTTGGACAGGAAGCGGGAGAGGGTTGGATGGGGTTGGCAGCAAGCAAGGAGGGGGACTGGAAGGGGCTGCAGCAAATAGTAAGTGGACTGGAAGGGGCGGCAGCAATCAGTTGAGGGGTTGGAAGGGATAGACGGCGGTTGGACAGCAGCAGAAAAACCAGTAGGACAATTCTGGCAGAGACAACAGCAGGTCTGGAGGCTAGGATGAAGGTTGGGGAACCTGGGAATACGATAGAAAAACACCACCTTAGGATGAGTTGTTGTTGGAGTATAACGCCCAATTTTGAGAAATTAGGTTAAATTTTGGCAAATTTAAAACATATCTCAAATTTCGCATCTCTTAGAATTCGACCAAATCAATTTTATAAAATTCTACACGTTGAATCATCAATTTAATATATAACACTAAGCATGAATTTTAAATGTAAAAAGATGCAAAATTATAAAGTTATAAGTTTAGTTGAACATAATTAATCCTAATCTCCTACCATTAATCCTCGCAGTTCCCAGCTGACCTGTTCTGCCATTCTCAACAGTAGGATGTCTTGCACGCGGGCTTGTGTCAGAGACTACACACTTGGTTTGAGGGCTTCTGTATGGGCAATTAGCAGAAAATCAGCTAGGGGGGGGGGGGGGGGGGGATTTGAAGTAATTTGTGAGGAGAATTCATGGAGGACAACCCATTTGGGGTAAATATCGACACATTTTTATGTATATGTTAAATTAAAACCTGAGATAAAAAATTTATGAATATCCTAAGAGATTTACGAATTTCATGTTGTTTGCACTATGTGACAAGCTTAAGACGAGCGTCATGGAACTCGTTGTAGGGTTGCTACGTCAATTTAGGTGAAATAATCATGTGCTAACTTAGAAAAATAATTATCCGTAAGTTTCCATGTGATTATATATTTGACATTATTGCATCTAGAAACTTCTGCACATTATGGATAAATATCTACATAAACTGCATGAATGTAAACTTGATTTGTCACTTGCGATGTCTATGATTTTACTATATTATGAATCTATTATGAATCTGATGAACATGCGCTTATGAAATCATTGCTTGAAGGTATTCATTTATTATGATTCATGCAAATGATACATGAAATGCATATAATAAATGCTTGTTAAAGGAATTATGATTTTAAGAAATGACATAAGTGATATTAAATATGAGTTTTTATATGAATACTTGTAAGTACATATGATAAGGTTAAAGAAGACAACTACATGATTTAAGAAAATATAGAAAAAGTAAATAATTGTGAAAAGGCTATAACCTGACAGAAGTCGTCTCTTCTGACTGTTCCGAACTTCCAATTGCTTGTTGAGTGGACAAGAAGTTTGGATTAGAAACAGATCCATCTCCAAAACTACCAAATGTGAACTTTGTGCACTCAGCTTCTGGTACTCGAAGATGCTGAGGAATGATAACTTGCTGCTCTCCACGAATATTGGCATGTGAAAGCTTATCCGACAGTTCAATATCATTCACCAGGTTTGCGCTTGAGGCATAGTCATTAGAAGAGGCAAGGACAGAAAATGTTTCAACTGTGCTGATGCTATCATTTTTCAGCTTTTGGCTTTTAGGCTTCCACTCCATGTTGAGCTGCATGGCTGCATTATAATAGAATAAATGTATTACAAAAATATCCCTGATGTATAAGGAAAAAAATTATATTATCTTACTAATGTGAACTAGCCAAGTAGACATAGAAAAGACAAAAAATAAATTAATTGAGAGAAACATTACCCAAAGCTTTCGCTTTCTAGTGAGTTCATGGGATGAATCATCCTGCTCCATATATTGAAAACAAAATACTAGACAAATAAAACTGTTTGAATATAAAATCATAAAAGGACAATAAAATTTACAACACTGAGATATAAATTGTTCAAATGAACAAATACATAGATATCATTCTTTCACAACTGGAATCCTAAATGTTTCCTTGTCTGCATTTTCAAGCATAGGAATATACACAATTTGACAGGAATTAGTATTTGGCTTGCTATTGATTCGTTAACGGCATGCTCTAATGGTTCAAAACTAAAAAATATCACACTTCAGAAAAATGAAGTATATTACTTCCCAATAACATGTCGCTACATTGTTTGACAGTACCACAAAATTCATCACTAATAATGACACGGATGCTAACCGCTCCCAATTACGGACACTAAGACTGTGCCCGGTTCGGGGCGCAGAACAGCGCCCGATTTGGGTGCTTCGAAGGCAGGCCAGCCCGCCTAGCATCGCAGAAGCAGGAGCGGCGCAAGAGCGGGAGCGGCGTAGAAACATAAGTGGGATCGTGATTTCTCGCGAGGTTTCGCAAGAGCAAGAAATGCCGCACGAAAACTGGATGAATCTAGTGTGATCCGGCTTGGGGCAATGAATCTGTTATTCTAGAGAATGCTTTTGGATTTCTGTACGCTTCTCACTCTCTTCCTTTGTGTAGAAGCTTCCTCCGTCCAGATGGAGCATAAAAATTGTTATCCTAGGTATGTAGGGAGTCAATTCAGATTGTGTTGTCTTCAGTTTTCTTGTGTGGAGTTCATTTTCACTTTGTAGATTGTATCCGGGGAGATGGTGGTACTCCGATTGTATCCTTCTCTAAGATGGTGATTATATATGTCCCTTCTACCTTCCCCAAACCCTCTCCTCTCCACTCCTCAACTATCGAACTCTCCCTCCGTTACCCCGACACCAAACCATTCCCCTTTCCTACATATTACTATTGTTATCCCGCCTTACTAACTCCGTTCAAGCTCCTCCCAACCACCCTACTACCGCTGCCAACCATGCACACCCTTCCCACTTGTTGTCCCTACAGTTCGCATCTTCCCCTCGCAGCCACCAGCACTCTGTGACCATCATCACCCCCGCTAGCCATCCCGACCCACCTCGTCGATCTCCATCACCCATTGGGATATATTTAGGAGTGTTCATTGTGTCATATGTGCATGTGTTGTTATTTTCGTTCAATTCATATTGTAATCCTATTTTAATATTAATGAAAGTTTGCTTTGTGTTTTCCACAGTTTTCCCTACTAATTTAGGCATTATTTGGTATCAAAGCTAACTCCACCCTAGTCCTATCCCAAGGTTGTCCAACATCCCACCCTACCCAAGCCACCTCCACCCAAATTTTTTATTTTGATTCCCAGCCCCAGCCATGCCACCACGAAGAGGTACACCGGACTCGACCAGGGAAGAGATTCAGCAAGAAAGTCGTCATCTACAATGGAGACTAGCAAAGCTAGATGAAGGAAACCAAGAAAGAGGTTACCTTCATCCGTAATCGATGGAGTCAAAGAAAAGACAGGGACGAAGTGATGAATTTGCTTCACAGGAAAGATCATAGTGACGAGGAATATCGGCAACATCGTTTTGGCATCTAATACCAAAGGAGGCCGAGAGAAGAGGCGCCTTATAAAGATCAGAGGGACAATGGCATCAAGATGGACCTCCCAGAATTCGAGTGGATCCTAATGAGTTTATTGAATAGCTGCAATCAGTTAAATAGATTTTTGAATATAAAGATGTACCAGAAGAGAAATGGGTCAAGCTAGCCGCCATTAAGCATAAAAGAGTGCTTCCCTATGATAGGAAAATGTGTAGAGGCGGACGAAGAGGGAAGATAGTAAAAAGATCACTAGGTGAGAGAAGATAAAAAAAGTAAAGCAAAAAAAGTATCTCCTACCTTACTATCGTTAAGATATGTTACTAAAGCTCCACAACTTGCAACAAAGTGATCTTTCAGTTGAAGAGTTCATTGCCTAATTCGACCACTTGCAGATGAAATTCGAACCGACTGAGCCAGAGGAACATACAATACCCATATCTCGAGGGACTGAAACCTGCCATCAACAATGTGGTATAACTGCAATCATATTAGACGCTAGGGGATGTCCATACGTTAGCCTTGAAGGTGGAAAAAAAACAAAAACAGAGTCGGCAACAATCATCTTTCACGCAGCAACCCTCGTAAGTTGTCATCTACAATTACCACGACCGACAATGATCTCTCAGGAGACACGGGCAAGCCCAGACTGGGAAATGACACTACGGATCAAAGCGGGAAGAAGCAAGAGACCCCAACACAGTGTCGACCAAGAAGTGCTACCAATGCCACTGCTACGACCACAAGGCCTCCAATTGCCCACAAGCAAGGTAATTACACTCACAAATCAAGGTATCGTAGAAGAAATTAGCGATGAAGAAAGTCGAAGAAAAGGATGAGTATTAGCTTCCCTCAGATGAAGGAGAGGCACTTGTGATTTGACGGTTTCTGCAGGCTAAGGACATTAGAAATTCGCAGTGGCTTCACCACAACATATTCTACAACGGTTACACAGTGAATAGAAAGTTAAGCAGTCTCATCATCGACGACAGAAGCAGCAAGAACGTGGTGTCGACACAGATGGTCAAGAAATTAGGACTCGCAACTCAGAAACATTTCCAACCATATTAATTGATGTGGCTGAAGAAGATTGGTAGAATTTTCAATCGGAAGCCAAATACAAAACATGTTGCAGTGTCGTGGTCCCTATTGGTGTCTGCCATCTTTCGTTGGGACGACATTGGCAATATGATTGAATGACTCAGCACGATGAACATAAAAACATGTATTCCTTCACCAAGGACGGGAAGCGCGTCAACCTCCTTCCTTCGACAGAGTCTGAGGTCACATGATCCCATTTTAGCAGAACAACATCAATGAAACCAGTTTTAGTGATAACATCAGACAAGAGGACCGAGACACCCGCCCCCGTTACAGGACATACAACCAAGAGTATGTCAGGACGATGTTGTACCAGCAGCACCATCGCGATGCAGGAAGGGCCTGATTACTATCACTACATGCTCGATTGAACCGATCATATGATACTTTAGAAATGTTCACCGGCATAGGCATACCACACTGCCCCAAAAGAACAGATCGATACGGACATTTACTCGCAAGTTAGGGAAGACCCACAAATACCCCGAGAGATGGTGCAATCATCAATGCGACTTAGGGGTGGCCGACTACGAAATGAAAGCTTCGACCATGAAGTTGAAGCTCCCCCAACCCCAGGAGGCTGACACGGGCGCCAACCACGCCCAATTACGGGCGCTAAAACAGTTACGGGTGCTAAACAACGCCTGGTTGTAGGCACTAAAACAGCGCCCGATTCGGGCGCTTCGAAGGCAGGGACGGCCCGCCTAGCATCGCAGAAGCATGAGTGGCGCAGAAGCAAGAGCAGGATCGCAATTTCTTGTGAGGTTTTGCGAGTGCAGGAGATCCCGTGTAAAGACAAGATGGATCTAGCGCGATTCGTGCATCACAAATCTACTATTCTAGGGAGTGTTTTTTGGATTTCTCTAGGCTTCTCTCTCTTTTCCTTTTGTAGAAGCTTCCTCTGTCCAGAGGGAGCCTATAAATTGTTGTCCTGGATATGTATAGAGTCAGTTCAGATCGTGTTGTCTTCAGATCTTCTGCGTGGAATCCATTTTCCCTTCATGGGATGAATCTGAGGAGATTGTAGTTCTCCGATTATATCCTTTCCTGAGGTGGTGAGGTGGTGATTGTATCATTCTGATTGTATCATTCCCTTCTACCTTCCCCAAACCCTCTCCTCTCCGCTCCTCAACCACTGAACTCTCTCTTTGTCATTCTGACACCAAACCATTCCCTTTCCTACATATTATTATTGTTATCCCACCTTCCTAACTCCGCTCAAGCTCCTCCCAACCACCCTACTACCGCTGTCGACCACCCACACCCTTCCCACTTGTTGTCCTTATAGTTTCGCACCTTCCCCTCGCTACCACCAACACTCTGTGACTGCCAATCTCCACCACCAAATGGAATACATTTAGGAGTGTTTGCTTGTGTCGTTTGTGTTTCTGTTGTTATTTCCGTTCGAGTCATAGTGTAATCCTATTTTAATATTAATGAAAGTTTGTTTTTGTGTTTCTCATTGTTTTCTACAAGTTATTAGCCTACTAAATGATTTCAAAAGTGTATAAATCACCCTAAATTTTTAAACTGTTTGGGTTATCTCTCTTTAAAGAGGTTTTTCACCCATAGGACCTTGATGGTCTCCATGTTAGTATTTCAATATTTTCAATATTTGTTCTATATCATTAGAATGATTTGTATATTTTTTTTATTTAAATTATGAAATCAATGTTATTGCTAATGTAAACTACAAATATAAAATTCAAACCAAATGGTTTGATAATAATATGTCTAAACCACAGAACACCTGTCATTGGTACCTTTACGAAATTAGTTGCAAGAAAGATAAAGCATTGAGTTCTAATAAGGTACTCATTATAGGAGTGCAACTCAATTGGTCTGTTGGTTCAGTGCTTTGACTCCAACCATTAGGTCTTGAGTTCAAGGCTTAACACAAATAGATGTGTGCGCAATTTAAAAAATAAAAATAAGTTACTCATTATAAGTTATTTTGAATTATAATTATGACGTGGAGCTTTGGGAGAAGGCCGACTGACCGGGTGGCAGAAGAGCCAGCTGAACCGGCCTGGGGAGGTTCCAGTCCAGCCTCTTGCTGGACCGACTGGCCTTCTGAGGGGTGGAATTTGTCTCCCGCACCACTTTCCTTTCCCGATTCCCGCCTACTGTGAATTGAGATTTGTCACCCACTGCTCTCTTCCCTTCTTCTTTTCAGTTTCTCACCTGCTTGGAGTCTATTTATATGCATATTTGTTGAGTTTAAGGTTAGATTATTGTGTCTTCCTTTAAGAGTTCTTTGTAGAATTTTCTTTCCCTCTAGAGCAATATCAGACGACAAGCGGTGCTCTGGGCATATCCTGCTCAAAGGTAGTGTTGTATCCTCTCTAATTTCCTCCCTGCTTTATCCATTACCTCCCTTAGCCGCCAGCCTACACCTCCATCACCCTAATTTCCCCAGATGGCCCCTTCCCTCCAGCCACACCTGCTGTCCAACCTCTCCAACCGCCCAACCTGCACCCTGTCGCCTCCCTGCCGCCTCCCTACCACCTTCACTGAAGTGTCGCAGCCCTCATAGCACCTTACCCCGCTGTTCTCACCACCTCCTTCTCCCCTACAATTGTTGCTAGCCCTTCCCCTTGATCCTGACCACCCACCACCACGCCATTCCAGCCACCTCTTCCATGTCCTCTACCACCGCAACGCCCAACCACCTCACTGACACTACCACTGCCCTTGGATCTTTGTATCCTGCCCATAGCCCAAGATTGGTGTTTGTTGTGTTTCCATTTTAGTTTTGAGTTATGTTTGTAATCCTAGTCATTTGCTTAATAAAATTTGTGTATGTTACCGTGGGTTTGATTGGTTCCAGTATAAAATTAAGATCCCCAATATATGTAAAACAATAATAAATATGTGAATAAAATTCTCCTCTCAATCTTCTATGCACTCTTAGATATGGATTCTCTAAGTAATTCGTAAGTCTTAAAGAAATCTTCCAAGAGATATTTCTCATCGGAGTGAGACATGGATATTCCAAGTGTCTACCTTTATCCTTATTCTTTCTTTTAAGCTATTGAATATTTGGTTTTTTTGCAAAATAATAATTTTGTTTAGTTTGATACATACCTTTTTCATTTTTGTGTTATGAATTTAATTGATGAAGAATTTTTCATTCGTTCTTAAATTCCTCAGAGCTTCAGATGTTGTCAACTTATTTATCATCATTTTGGACGAATAAAGTGTATTTTTTACTGTGCATCAAGTGACTAATCTCCTCTTAAGTTAAAATTTAAGAAAATGTGAATTTTAGCCTTTTTGTATTTCTTTACACAAATAATCCTTAGTCTGCATTAGAGATCCCTAGATCCTAAAAAGTCTGAAATTAATTAACTTAATGACCATTAGAATAAACACTTTGTGATTGGATTGAATAGACAGTAATGTTACCTTGCTTGTCCATTCGTCAACCATATTCTAAGCTAGAGATCAGCACTCCAAGTAAGAGACAAGGTTTCCCTAGTTTGAGAAAGAGAAAGGAGAGAAGAGGAGGAGAAGGGAGAGAGAGTTTTGTGACTACTTGAAACAATTTTATAATCTTAGAATTATAATTTTGTTGCATTATCAAAATAACAAATTAGAAACAAACCTTTAAACAAGTAAATTTCCTTCATTATTCACCTCATTTCTAATTCATAGATCAAGTACGAGCATAGAAAACACCTTAACATCCCTTGAAAAGGAAAATAGACATAAGACGGTGGTTAGCTACCTAGCTACAATAGACTATGATGAGGAGTCAACAACTTTGGTGCTCCTTTTTCATTTTTTGTTGATATGGAAAAATTAAGTGGTGTTTACGGATGATGCAATAATGATGGTGAAGTGATACACCTTGAAACATGAACTTTTAGCCTTAAAATGTAATTTCATGTAGGATCATGAAACCAAAGCAACATAAAAAAAGTATTTAAATTGGTTTAGAATACATTAAACCCTAGCCAGGTCACCCTAAAGTTGTTGACTATGCTGCAATTAACACAAGCAGACATTTTCCTTAATTAGCCTTAATTTGATTGAAAATCCACCGGGATCAAATGTTCACCACTTGCATTGGTCTCTCGTAAAACTTTGCAGCCCTCTACTTCGATTAGTTCACACAGTGCATTCATAGCTCACAAGTAAAAAACCACCATTTCTATGTTAAGCTGGTACAAGTTAACTTTAAAATTAAGAAATAACAGTCCTACCCCTTTGGTGATTGAATGTTTGAAGTTGTTTGCTATTATTTTGTGCACTTCGACGATTTGATGTTGGAGGCCTGAAAGTATCTGAGATAGGAACTCGATTAAGCTGATTGCTTTTGGCATTTGTTGCCGAGTCTCGCAGTGACTCTGCTGTGGATGTAATGCCCTTCCCACCCAAGTTTACTGAGTGAGAATTATTTGAAACTGTTGAGTTTGTAGGCTGAACATTAGAAGACTGTTTTTTAATGCCGACAGCTCCAACTTCACGTCGAATGGCACCAATGGAACCAGCTGATCTGGAAGCTGGAGATGGAACATGAACAGGATCTGAGGACGAAGAGTAAACACCAATAATAGTATTACTTGAAGCAGAATTTATCTCAGAACCATTAACAACAGCTCTATCAGCCTCTGAATTTGAAGATTGATGCATGGTCGTAATCTCCTCAGATGGCAAAGCCCTAGATCTGCTAGCTCGGGACAAATCTTTCTCAGGGTTCAAACCCTGAGAGCATGATGCATTCATGTTTTGAGATCTTCCATGGCCATCCAAAATGCTGGAATTAAGTGGCTTCTGTTCATTTATAATTCTTGCCAATCTGCAATAGAAAATTATGCCAATTGATGTGTTTTAAGTTAATGATAGACATGTAATATAAGAAGAAACATGTATGAAAAGGCTCCAATGGAAACCTAGCACTGACCATACTATAATAAAATATCAAAAGACAAAAATCAAAATATCCTTGCACATAAAGCATATAAAGCTTAAAACCAAAGAAAATAACTATTGCCTACTTTAATTAGAGGTTAATGACAGTCCAAAAGTGATCTTATTTTTGACAAGTTGACATGAAATATATGGGTGATCCCTCTTATTACATGGTAGCTTTAGGCTTCATCAATGAAGTGTTCATTAACTAGAAAATCAAGGTCCTATCACGAGACAATACTACAGAGTAAAAGGCACTAACATAGATATCCAGTAACATAATTGGCTGCAGTTACAATTGATTTGCATTTGACATTGAATTATTTATCCCGCTGAATCAGTTGATTAACCAAGCTTGGATTTTTGGATATCAAACCACCAATAAACTATGCGTCTATGAAGGGCTCAATTACAATTCAATAGTTTAGTGTTAGGGATCTCAGTTGTGAACAAGCAAACTTCCTCATTTGGAGATAAAGTTCTCAAATTCAAGGAGTTCTTCATTAAAGGGTTTTACATAGTTAATTTGGGATGAATTCTTAGGCTACAGAACAACCGCTAAACAATTTGACAGTTATGTTGGGTTAAGTTGCGTTTATCTAGTGCCAACTCTACATACAGACAAACATACCTATATATATTTTGAATACATTAAAATGCAAACAAAAGCAGTGCCTGCGGTGGCAGAAATTGGCTGGTGGAAATCGCATGCAGTGGGGGCGTGAATTTGGAAATCTTAGGGATTGAAAAAATTCAAAATGCCGAAAAAACAGAGATTTTTGGAATATTTCAAATCCCATAAACTTTTACATTTTTCTTTCGATTCAAATTAAACATTAAAATAATAATAAGAAAATGCAAGGAAATTATATGCAACACCCTGCTAATATTACCAACCAAACAATCCCGAAAGAAAGAAAGAAAATAGCGAACTCCCAATTACCAAATTAGTCTGACATGTAGAAACCATCCAATCACTTCAAACAAACCTTATAAGTCCATTTATAGAAATAATATAAATTTCTAAAAACAGATATATCAAAAACATGAAGTAAAATGACAAGAATTTAAAAATACGTGGAACTACTTAAAATCATGTCACGATTAACTCAAATAAGATTAAACAAGATATAATCAATTGCAACTAGATTATACTAGATCATTCTGGCAATTTAGTCAAACTACTGAGCCTTTTTATCAAATGCCATAATGAAGTCGTAAAGTTATTTGTTGTTCTTCATAAGAGATACATAATGTATGTGTGTGTGTGTAGACTGCACGCACAGGAATATGATGCTTAAAAAATAAACATGGGACCTACACACGCACACACACACAGGAACAAATAACAGCTACACCAAATAACTCGCACAGGATTATGATGCTTAAAAAATAAACATGGGACCAACACACCCACAAACACGGGAACAAATAACAGCTACACCAAATAACTCTAAAAAAAACCACGCTTACCTCATCACAGAATTATTTGAGTTAAGATGCTCATTTCCCGAAGAGGGCTGCAATGAATTGGACTTGGCATCCTTGTTCAAATTTTGGTTTACCCTATTGTCCCGCACAACACGAAACTCTTTGTTGATTCTATTATCTAGTCAAAATTTTAAATAGGAAAAAGCATATCAGCATAAACATCATGGATTTAGAATTCATGTCAGTAAATCTAATGTAAAGGGAAGAAAGATGCCAGGATTGTAGTTTAGGTGGCTGATCAAAAATATTATTTGGTCACAAAGCATATTAATTATTTCAGCACAAACAAAATGATGTGTGGTTCTACAAATGTATATATTCAGAATAAAAAATAAAAATTGTCCCGACAACATAAGAAAAAAGTTTAAAACTGAAAAACCTTTAACAATGCAAATATAGCATGCATGTTACACACCACAATTTCTTCATCCCCCGACATTTGAGAACATCTTCAAAAGTAAGTGCACAATATTCAAACTTTGCATGTAAGAAAAGATTCTTGAATCTAGGCTAGGCAGGCCAGTTTAACCAATTGACTTGTGAACCACTTGCATTAGCAATTCATTATTACCAAGGACATAATGGAACAATGATTAAATGTTAGTCCAACTGAGGTCCCAATGTAGGACTTCAAAGCAAAAAAGGTTTCGGGGACCACTTGTATATTCATTACTGCCCAAGATGGAATGGAACAATGATTAAATGGTAATCCAACGGGAGTACCAATGTAGGATTTAAAAAAAAAAACTAGCATCTAGTTGTATCAACGAGTTTATAAATATAGATTTAAAGCTTAAATCTTTCAAATTACTTTGCCACCACAGCACCCTTCCACAAGTTCACATAGTTTCCCCACATCTAAAGTTAAACAAGCCAATTATGGATATCTATGTGAAAACCAAGGTCTTGCAGTCATGCTTGAACAAAACATGAACAACTTATGACTTGATCAAGTCAAATCAAATCCTCGTGGCATAATTGACTCAACTTGGCTTGAATAAAGCCCTCTCTGATAATCCAAAACTTTGATTGTCTATTATTATCCCCAACATCCACACATCCAAATATTAGTTATCCTCTTCTTTCACAACCAGACTATGTCCTCATAGTCCATAGCTTCTGATCAAATGCAACTCCAATAACAAAATTACTCAAAAAAATGATAAGAGTTTAAGGGAAAACACAATTCCAAAAATTTTAGTCATAAATACCAAAACACATATTTATAGAATACTTGATATCGTTTAAATTTAATCTCTTGATAACACCCCAAAGCAATATTGAAATTTGAATTCTAAATAATTAGGATCTCCTAATTAATGGTTATAGAACTTCCTCAATTTCCTTCTAGGAAAATCCAATCTACAAGCAGTAAATATATTTCACTCTACTCTTAACTAATCCATAACCGATCCCTTCCACTTTTTAAAGTACAGTCGACAACTTCCAAATTTCTATTATTTTTTTTTCATTACTACCCCTCAAAATGGTGAGCAGATATCAATCAATTCCAACTTGCTGAAGAAATATTCAAAATTGTATTTGAACGTTCTTTTTGTGAGGATATTTCTAGTTCATTGGCAGTTGAATAAAAATATGCAAATACTTGATGAATTTAATTTCTCGTTTATAACATGTTGGTCTACCTCAACGTACTTAGTTCTACCATATTGGACAATATTATTAGTTATTAATCAACGCCAACTTGCTAACGAAATATTCAAAATTAGACCTAAATAATCCATTTGTGATGATATTTTTTATTTATCAGAAAGAAAAAAATAGATGCAAATAAATTCTGCATGAAACTTAACTTCTTTTTAATAAAATGTTGATCAACCTCAACACGTTCGGTTCCATTGTATTAGAAAATATTATTGGCTATACTCCACCTTTGTTGTCAAAACATAACGTCATTGGAGAATCTATGGTTCTATTGGACAATTCAGCATCTGCCATTGGAGATTTTTAGTGTCATTTTGTCATGAAAAATTTAAGAGAAAATATCTAGAGTAAAAGCCCATTTGCATCAACAAACTGGGTTAGGTATTCGAGAATATCCTAAACTAACTTCTACAAAAATTTAGAAAATGCACGAATTGGATAATGATGCTAAGCAGAAAAATAATGTTATGTTTAAAAAAGTTTCATTCCTCTCTTTTGGGCAAATTGATTCCGGTAAGTATTTTAGCTCTTAGCCAAGTGTGTGTTTATTTAAACCAAAATATCATGATCCTAAGAAAAAAAGTGCAAAGCTGTAGTGCTATTGAAAGAGCATTCAACTTGCAAGCTGAATATCATTTATATGAAAAATTGCTCGAATGTTTTATTCAACAGCTTCTCAATTCCATTTCACAAAAATTTCATATTATTATAGTGTGTGCTCATATGCAATCAACAACATAATCACTAGATATATTATTCTAGGTTATAATATGTAAAGAACAATATTGGCTCAAAAAAAGAAAATATATTGAAAGAATTCTTGAGCCCATAAAAGAGACTCAAAATGAGAAATAAATTATTATTATAACTTGTAATGATTGGACATATGCATATAATTAATTTTATGGCATCACAAAATTTGAGCTAATCTTTTTAAAAGCTATATTGTGAAAGGGCATAAAAAAATAAATTTTATATTGCCAATAAATTAAAGAAGTAATTACGGGGTGGGCACAAATAAAGTAGTTCAAGTAATCACCACTAATGTACCTATATGCAGACCTATATAAGCACTAATTGAGGCTCAATACCCTTTTGTCTTTTCATCTTATTATGTTGTTCCTACACTAAAACTAACAGTGAAAAATATTTGTGTTCCAAAGAAGATAATAAAAGAAAATGAGATTATTTATAAATCATGTTGCTGGATAATTAAAGTTAGCAAAAAGGTAAACTTTGTATAAATTTCCATTATGAACCACTCAATGAGATTATCATTTTTCAATGAGTTTGTGAAACTAAAAATATTGGCTATTACAAAGACTAGTTTTATATCATGTATAGTCATGCATAAGCAATTCAAAACAATAAAGAAATGACTACATATTATTATAATTAGTAGAAGTGGAATATGTATTGTGAAGATGATAAATATAAGATGATGCTCGTACAGATAAAATCTCATATGATGAGTGATAAAACAAGATAGGCTGTGTTAAAGCTTTTACAAAGCCTATATATCATATGTTGAGAGTGATTGATTAAAAAAAAGCCTCATCTCCATCTTGTCTATAAAATATGGGATTCAATAATAAAAAATGTGAAAGAGATCATAAATCAAAATGAGGGAAAACGAGATATCGAAGTCCATACATTTCATAAGTTTATATATAAAATTCTAGTAGAAAGATTAAATAAAAATAACATTTTACCTCGTTTCCTTGCTCACTCTCTCAATCTAACAAAAATTTAATTTTCTATTTTGTTAATCCTATTTTTTGTATCTGGAATGTCATTTATGAGGTATATTATTTACAAGATATTATAGGTATACTTGACTAAGTGAAGTTTTAAACTGTATTATTCCACATAAAGGCATGTAGATATTACATGAGGAACAAATATCTAAAGAGAACTTTTTACATGAAAAAGAAAAATTAATAATAATTTGGTATTCGCCAAATTCTTCGGATTCAGCGGTGCGATTACTTATCATAACTCCATAGCTTCTATAAGTATTATTGATGAAACAGCGTGGTGGATGATTTATGGAACAAGTTTCTCACAACTGCAAAGTTTAGCTTTTAAATTATAGCTCAACCATATTCATCATTTTGCTATGAATGAAATTAAAGTACATATTCTTTTATCAATTCACTTAAGATAAACAATCACACCTCAAAAAGGATAATATTTAAAATTTATGCATATTAATCTCCATCTTCCATCTAGTTCCATCTAGGAAGAGCCCAAAATAAATTTAATGTAAGATAAAATTATGGGATATTGGTGGAAATACATTAATTACCATGGATAATATTGAAATATCTAAAGTTGCTATACTCTATCTTGATGAGCTATGCTTGGAAATTGTATATTTCTTAAATGAAGGTGAAAATGTTATCGAAGAGGGCAATGGAAACTAACCAGCTCGCACTAATGATGATCTTACCATTAAATGCGGTAACTCCAATTAGCGATGATCATGCAACTATATTTTATTTCATTATATTAATAATGCCATTGCAATAAGTTTATTTTTTTATATATATTTTTAATATTTTGAATGTAATACTAATATCACCAAAATAATTTTTATTATTATAAGTTTTTTGATGATTGCATACTTCACTTTATGATAAATTGAGAACAAAATAGTGACAAATATACAGTATTGTCGTGTTTGCATCCATGTTATGTCCCTGTGTTCATGTTCATGCTTTATGGATAAGAATTTATTTATAACAGAAGCAATTTCTTACTTGTGCTCTTGCTAAACTTATAGTCAGATAATCCAGCCATTTAGTCAATAAGCATGTAGATAAATATGCCTATAAATTTGACTTGCCGTGAAATATGAACATTTCAACTACCTTTAATGTCACCGATTTTTCACGTCATTATGAATGTGTTCTGGAACCTAAACATATAGGGCGGGTCTTCTCCTACCATGGAAGCATGACATAATTTTGTGCAGGAGAGATCTTCCTTTTAAATTAATATACCTTTTAGTTATCTTTTTTCGTCTTATTTCATTTTAGGGGTAGCTCCATAATGGGTGGCTTAAGAGTTAAAAGGAATTTCACATAACTAGCAATTCCATAGACGAGCCGAGAGGTCTTTTTACGCCATTTGTTTTCCATGGCTTTCAGGTTATTCCTAAAAGAGAGCAGGGAATTCCTGTCATTGGAGAGGATTTCACAAAAATTTTGAAGAGGTGAGACGAAGGAGGATATAATGGTGTCCAAGACCATGACAAAATTTGATTGCCTAGAACTTTAACCTTTCTTCTATAACTACCAACGAGTAGAAAACTTTCCAGTGTCAGGAATTACAATTGTCTTGCTGCAGACTTACCTTACAGCAAACTTTGAGAGTAAGAAAGCTAGCATATTAGGTTACTGGTGAGATATAGCAACTAGGAGTGTAGTCCCTGTTCCTGCAGCAGAAATT